TAGCCCAGGTACTTTTCAACTATGGCAATATAACTTTTTTATCTAAGTCTGTAGCTCAGAAATTATTTAGAAAATGTTTTTACCCAGTAGAACCAATTTACTGTAGCCATGAAACACTTGAAAGGGATGGGAAAGTAAGAAATCCAGGTTTATCTTTCTCTAGGAAAGAGAGGCTGAGCTGTCACAATTAACTCTAACAATTAGGGGGAGAAAAATGGCTACCTAATTGTTTATTAATAGATTCAAGAATCATACAGTGATGTCAGAGAAAACTCTTGCCCTGTGTTCAGCAAACTTACTAACCTTTAACACATTATTTCTGTTCATTTACATTCTTTTTTAATTAAGCTGTATATTATAAATGTTGGCATCACCATCTGTTAATATTAGGGTATAAAATAGATTGTGTTACCTGTATAATGCACTAGTGAGTCTGTTTCAAGTTCCCCTCTGTACTCATCAGCAGATATAAATAATTTACAACCTCCCATGTCTCTTCAGCTCAAATTGTAGCAGCTTCTTATTTCAGCTGTCCCCAGTTCAATCCATGGTGTCAATTTTAAGAAGGTCGATATGAGATCTGGATGGGAAGAGCTAAAACATCTGACTGGAAATCAATGGACAGGAGGTGCAGAAAAAACAAAAAAAAATTAAAATAAAGGAATGTATAATTCTAAGCAAGAAGTAGAGCCTAATATTGAGTTACAAATATTTTCTTTAACTTCTTTTTTAATAACATGCACTTCTAAATTCAACTCAGAATCTTAGATGCTTCTTCTGACTACTTCATTGTTTGGCTTTGGAAGGGAGATTGGTCTTGGAGTTGGAAGTTCCAGCTCTCCTAGATATCCCCAAGCTACATTTAAACTAGCAAACTCTGGTAAGGATGGGCATTTACAGCCTGGAACTCAGCACAAGCTACAAAACCCACACAAAAAGCTAGGTAAACATTTGAGGGGTTCACCCATGCTGAGATCTGTACTTCCACAGCTACAGCTATCAGCACCCGAGCTAACTAGTTTAAAGCTAGTTCAGGAATGAGCTATGATACATCCTAATTTACAGTGTAATCAGGGCCCTTGAATTAGATATCTGTAAACTGTCTTTCTCTTGGTCTCACTGTTTAAAGATTGAGGGGGCCTCTCAAATATTCAAATGAGCGGCTTGTTAATCCACTAGCGTTGTGTATTGGCTACTTTTATCTTTTATCTTGCATCTGTTACTGACTACTGTAGAACTTGGTATCAGAGGGGGAATATTAAGATGTTCTGTTATTTAAGGCATTTTGTGCCCGTTAAAACAGAAATAAACTAATTGATTATTGGTGTCTTTTACAATCTTAAAGATTTGTCTATGACATATACATATATTGCATTTCTAATTGTTTCTTTTACTTTGTGAGACTAAATTCTCCTCATCTATTTATTATCATATCTAACTCAAGTTTATTTCATGGCAAGTTCCTTATTACACTTTGGTTTCTTGTGCTGTATTGTATGCACTTTGGAGGACAATAGATACTAATATATAAATTTCAGTACCTATCTGCTGAAGTGTTCTAGATTTTTAAAGAATTGAATTTGCATCTTAACCTGTAATTCTAAAACCTCTCTTCTGGTTTTACTGGATTTTAAAACTTATTAAAATAATGTGTTATTGCAGACTAGTTATTTTTTAGAGTGGGGACTGGAGTTGACAAGTATTCAGCAGTATTTCACGCTAATTCAAATTTTTTCTCATAATTGGGACAAACTCTACATTCAAATTTGGGCACCTTATACCTGACGTATAATTTTAGTATGCTCTTTTTAAAAGTAAAATAAATTAAGAAGTAGTTGAGCTTATTTCCCTGGTCATTATGGTTGCTTACGAATTTTAAAAACAAATGGCTTTATTGAAAAAAGCAGCATGTTAGTTTGACCCAGCTCCACAGCACCTGTATTGATCGAGTGCTTTAGGGGGGCTTTTGGGTGCTTTTATCTAATAGCTGATTCAGTCAGGTTTTAGATAAAAGCCCCACTAAGGCCACACTAAACCGCTCGATCTACACAGATGCGGGGGGCCAGGTCTAACTAATGCAGCGCCTCTCTTGGGCATGTGCTGGGCTCAGCGCAGAAGGGCACCAAGTTTAAAGTAAAGTGCCGTCTTCTGGCGGGGGGTTTTAACATCTGTAAGTAGCCGAGATTAATTGCTTTTTACTAATGAAGTTCATCTGTGGGGGAATGAGTCGAGGAGATAAACCGTAGGTTGGTCTTAATTGTTCTGGTTCCTTTGCTTTTGAATTTCTGTTAGACATATTGTGCATACAGAAGTAGACATATGTAATGTTTGTGTATTAACATGTATTATATGCTTCCTAATGAGAGAGAATCTGACATATACATATATTGCATTTCTAATTGTTTCTTTTACTTTGTGAGACTAAATTCTCCTCATCTATTTATTATCATATCTAACTCAAGTTTATTTCATGGCAAGTTCCTTATTACACTTTGGTTTCTTGTGCTGTATTGTATGCACTTTGGAGGACAATAGATACTAATATATAAATTTCAGTACCTATCTGCTGAAGTGTTCTAGATTTTTAAAGAATTGAATTTGCATCTTAACCTGTAATTCTAAAACCTCTCTTCTGGTTTTACTGGATTTTAAAACTTATTAAAATAATGTGTTATTGCAGACTAGTTATTTTTTAGAGTGGGGACTGGAGTTGACAAGTATTCAGCAGTATTTCACGCTAATTCAAATTTTTTCTCATAATTGGGACAAACTCTACATTCAAATTTGGGCACCTTATACCTGACGTATAATTTTAGTATGCTCTTTTTAAAAGTAAAATAAATTAAGAAGTAGTTGAGCTTATTTCCCTGGTCATTATGGTTGCTTACGAATTTTAAAAACAAATGGCTTTATTGAAAAAAGCAGCATGTTAGTTTGACCCAGCTCCACAGCACCTGTATTGATCGAGTGCTTTAGGGGGGCTTTTGGGTGCTTTTATCTAATAGCTGATTCAGTCAGGTTTTAGATAAAAGCCCCACTAAGGCCACACTAAACCGCTCGATCTACACAGATGCGGGGGGCCAGGTCTAACTAATGCAGCGCCTCTCTTGGGCATGTGCTGGGCTCAGCGCAGAAGGGCACCAAGTTTAAAGTAAAGTGCCGTCTTCTGGCGGGGGGTTTTAACATCTGTAAGTAGCCGAGATTAATTGCTTTTTACTAATGAAGTTCATCTGTGGGGGAATGAGTCGAGGAGATAAACCGTAGGTTGGTCTTAATTGTTCTGGTTCCTTTGCTTTTGAATTTCTGTTAGACATATTGTGCATACAGAAGTAGACATATGTAATGTTTGTGTATTAACATGTATTATATGCTTCCTAATGAGAGAGAATCTGATACCACATGACCCTTAATGTTTTGGAATTTGGTGCATCAGTCTGTAAAACAGCTGAAATGCTATTATGTTTCTGTGTGTCCATGTCACGTTAGTCTTGAGCCATACTAGCTACCTGGACAGCTCCCAGTGATGCATGTGCAGCTGATGAACTCCTTCACTTCCATTCCTTCCCCTGTTTGCTTGTTTTTGATTTATATTCTGCTCTGTCCAAAAGGCTCAGAGTGGCTTACAGCACAAAGAGAACATACTCCCAGCTGCCAAAATAGCTTCCTGGGGTCAGTGGTAATTCACAAGAGCGATCAAAAACAACACGTTACTTTCACATACTATAAGGTGGTTTTAATTCACTGCCAAGCAGAAATCAGGTGGTTCAGTGGATATGGCCCTCTGACTTCAAAATATGATTGCTTGCTTGGGGGTTTTGTGTGACCCATTATTCCAGCATTTTTTGCTTTTTCTTTTGATTCATTATAGACTAATCATTTATATAACAGTAAAGTAATCCATTCTGTGTAATACTGAAATATTTGCTGCAACAGTTCTTTGGTTCTGTGGTGAAGATGTTCTTGTAGTTTGGGAAATAGGAAAAATAATAAACTGCTACGTTTCCACAGCATCTGTCTTCCAAAAAATATTTATTTCTTTAGAGACTGTTGATTTGCGTGTCTTTAACAATCCCTTAATATAAGTGAAGGTTACCAAAGGACTGCTTCACTGTTCACTAAAATGCAGCTTCCACTTAAGGTGGAGCATGTGATCTGTTTTAATGTTATACTACATAAGTTTAGCTAAATGGAGAATTAAAAATACTTTATCCAACTGAATCTGAAATTTGGATTTTAGCTAGATAGACCCTAACCATCTGTGTAATCGCACCAGCACCTTATTTTTATGAAAAATGCTAATAGATTTTTAATGACCTTAGAGGAATTGAGATCTTAGTTTTAAGTCTCAACCAGCACTTAGCTCTTGTAAGAGTACAGTGCATTTCCTGTCTGCATAATATGTTGGTTTAATAATGAGTCAAAAACAAGTAGTGCCTACCAAATTATCACCAACTCCTTTATTACATAGGTCTTAGATATTTCATCTGCATCTCACTTATTGACAGTGAATGCAGTCAATATGATATGTAGTCAAACCCTTTTTATTTCCAGAAATATTACCAGTTTATATTTTTTAGGAAATATTGGAGTCAAAACTAGGAAATCTGTTAACATGAGACCAGAGGTACTGCTTTTAGGAGGTGATGAGTGATGATAGCAGTGTTATCAAGAAAATGGTCAGTCATGACTGAATGTCATTTTGTGCTCTGGGCAGAGATTCACCTGGGAGTAGTTTGAGACCATAACTCTTAGCTCATGACCTAACTGATGCTTGAAACCAAATGTGTATATAAAGTGATTGTATTACCTTTTTGTGTCATCTGACACTGGAAAAAATGGTAATATTGGTCTGAATATCTTGTACAAAGCATGCATTTAAAAACTTAATACTTTAAGGAAGTTTTTTGTTCTATGTTGTTTTTGTCTTGTTAACTGTGAAGTGTGTACCCTTTCTGAGTAAGGAAAATTAACCTTTCCTTCTCCCTTAACTTCCATTTTAGACTGCTCTGGCACATTTGGAATCTCTTGCAGTTGATGTGGAGCAGGCTCATCCACCAGCCAGTAAAGAAAGCATAGACTGTCTGCCGCAAACTATTATTACAGAAGATCATAATGGTACGGAAGAACTAACTAAAAATTCATTTTTATACTATGTTAGAGCCCAGTCATAACATTGCATAACAGTGTATGTGAAATATTTAAGAAAATTAGACTAAAGTACTGTGTAGTAAATTCACTAGGAACACAAATTGAGATCACTTTGGAAACAGTGACATGCTTACTCTGTAATATTCATTGTATTATGATTAGCTGTTGTGATGTCTTCTAATTATATTTTGCTTTGGGTTCAGTTTTTAAATTAATTTTTAAAATATTTGGGTTTTTTTTCTTCTAAGCTGTAGGTCAAGAACAATGTTGTGCTATCTGTTGCAGCGAATATGTGAAAGATGAAATAATAACGGAGCTGCCCTGTCACCATTTCTTTCACAAGCCCTGTGTAACTTTGTGGTTACAGAAGGTATGTGCTCTTTTGGTTGTTTTTGTGGTTTTCTGTGTAACTTTTTGAAACCTTATGATGTCAGTCTTTAATAAACCGTTAATTTAGCTATTTTAATGCTTTAGGAACTAAATTGGTGGTGAGGGAGAAATCTCTGTGTGTACAGGAGAGTCTTAATACAAGAACCGCAACTGACTGGTCTTGACCATTAGGTATCCTAAAATATTAAAGTAATTTTAGTATATATAATATTGGCTATTAATATTTATTTTTACGATATCTGTTGTAATTTATTGTTATTAATTACTGCATTATACTTATTTATATTCAAGTTTAACACTTTAGGACAGTGGTCACCAGTTCTTGATCCACCGGTAGATCTCAAAGCCTCTTGCAGTAGATCTCAGAGCCTCTTGGACTCGATCTGAGGCTGGGGTGGGTGACTGAATGCCTGCATGCATGCACGCATGTGCCCCAGCCCAGCAGGTCAGTCCATGGGGTAGGGAAATGGAGAGGGCTAGATCAAGGTCCTCATAGTGAGGGACAGTGCCGCAGAGGCAGGAGTAGGGATAAGTTGAGTGGGGCCCCGGCCAGGTGGGACTTACCTGCTGGGAGGCACACCCCCAAATAATTTTTTCTTCTTCTGCCTTGATCTGCCCCCTTTCCGTCCCTGCAGACTTACCTGCTGGGCAGGGGCAGTAGTACACAGTAGATCTTGGGTTGCTTTTAAATGCCAAAGGTGATCTTCTGCTTAAAAGTTGGAGACCACTGCTTTAGGAACTACATTTTGTTAGTTGTGAGGGAGGGGAAAAAAAATGCCTATAAAGGGTGCAGTTACAATACAGGAGCCACAACCTGCTGGGCTTGACCATTAGATATATTAAAGATCTACAGATACAGTAAACAACTAAAGAGGCACAATTTCTGTGCAGAGCCCTAGTTCTGGACTGGCTAGGAGATGGAAAGACTAACCCTTAGAATACCATGCTCTGGTTTGGGCTCCTCATTACTAGAAAAAAACACTCAAACCAAAAAAAAAGTAAATCGATTAGATAAGACAGAATTATTACTGATTTGAAATAGTAGTCTTAAACTTGTTTAGACTTTGACTAAGTGAAGACATTCAGGGAGGCTTAGGGAGGTGGGTGAGGCAAGCAGGCTCAGAGGGGAGCAGTTTGGGAGTACACAGGAGAGATGGGAGTGCAGGCGGGATCTGTGGGAGCAATCAGGGTGATATGGGGGGGTGGGCAGCATCTGTGGGGGGATCAGGTGGCAGCCACAGGAAGGATCAAGTGGCAGACAGGTTCCACAGTGGAGCTGGTGGAGTCAAGGAGGGTTTTGTGGGGTTATGGGGCTAATGTCTGTGGGGAGGCTTGGGGGGATCAGGGACCTACTTTTAGCCCTCTGACCCATCCCTGGGAACCTACAACCCCATCCCTCCTCCCCCAATCGATAATTACTTCCTTGACTCCCAGCAGGGGTGAGTTCTGGCACCTGGAGCAGTTTGTGGGATGGAGGTTTGAAGCAGGGGGGCTGGCTGGTCTGCAGGAATGGGGAGGGAGGAGGAGGAGGTGGCAAGGGGCTGAGGCACTAAAAATAGTTAGGTGGCAGGTGCACAAAAAGTACAGCCCTCGTACTGGATCTTGGAGTCCTAGTGGACTCCAAAATGAACATGAGTTGGCAGTGTGACGAAGCCATCAGAAAAGCCAATGGCACTTTATCGTGCATCAGCAGATACATGACGAATAGGTCCAAGGAGGTGATACTTCCCCTCTATCGGGCACTGGTCAGACCGCAGTTGGAGTACTGCGTGCAATTCTGGGCGCCGCAATTCAAGAGGGATACAGATAACCTGGAGAGGGTCCAGAGAAGGGCCACTCATATGGTTAAGGGCCTGCAGACCAAGCCCTACGAGGATAGACTAGAGAAACTGGACCTTTTCAGCCTCCGCAAGAGAAGGTTGAGAGGCGACCTTGTGGCTGCCTATAAGTTCATCACGGGGGCACAGAAGGGAATTGGTGAGTATTTACTCACCAAGGTGCCCCCAGGGGTTACAAGAAATAACGGCCACAAGCTAGCAGAGAGCAGATTTAGTTTGAACATTAGGAAGAACTTCTTCACAGTCAGAGTGGCCAAGGTCTGGAACGGGCTCCCAAGGGAGGTGGTGCTCTCCCCTACCCTGGGGGTTTTCAAGAGGAGGTTAGATAAGCATCTAGCTGGGGTCATCTAGACCCAGCCCTCTTTCCTGCCTATGCAGGGGGTCAGACTCAATGATCTATTGAGGTCCCTTCCGACCCTAACATCTATGAATCTATGGAGTCAGCAGCCTGGCTTTCCCAGCTTTGGGCTGCACAGGTGACTGTACTGAATTTCAGTGCACCAGTCTAACTTAATTCAGTTTGAGTGTACCCTGATCCAAGTCTGTTGTAGACTAGGTTCTGCCATTTTTGGATCTGTTTATGTGTGTGGAACTTCCATACTGTTACCAGTTTAGATTGATTTCCAATCACTGGGACTAGGTCTGAATGTAAAGTCCACACCTGGGTGAATTAAGTTTAGATCATGTGACTATTTTTAACCCAATCTAACCTCCCCGAATGTCTGCACTTAGCCCTTGTCTTTCTTTTTAACTTGTCTAGCAAGAAGAAGAATAAAGGCCTATATAACTAATGAGGGCTGCATCGCTAAAGGTGAAAAATGTAAGGTGTTTCAGAGCAATTTAACTAGAAGTAGTAGTGTTACTGTAAAAAAAAAACTTAACTGAGTTCTGCTAGTTTATAGAATTGTCTCCAAAGGGGGGTAGGCTTTAAATGCTTCATTGATTATGAGTGACTAAATGAAGCATCTGTGAGTTGCTGGAATATTCCAGCAATATTAGAGATTTGGATAAGACCGCCTGATACCAGCTCTAAGTTCTGTTTCTTTTACTACTGTATAATATTAAGGAAGATTGAAAACTAAGACTCCTTGTAGCCATTTATTATTCTCAGATGAATTAACCAATTCAAAATCATTCTGATCTTGAGGTTCCTTGTCTCAAGCATGCTAAACAATCATTCCATAATCAAGTAAAAACTAACTTTTCAGTCTGATATAATCACCAAGTCTGTACAGCCCCAGAAGCCCCAGTCAAGGTTAGGGGTCCATTATGGCAAATTCTAAATCAGGAGTGGCAAAACTTCCTAAAGTTTCTCGCTACAAACCAAAAATTTAATGAGGCTGAAAGTCATATGATACAACACCTTTTGAGATGTGCATGCCCCAGAATCAGATATATACATGTGCACAGCGCACCTGCTCAAATAGTAATTTATCATAAAATGACTTTCTTCAGGAGCAACATTTAAACTTGCAAGCCACAACTGGTCCACTCTGTTTTAGTAATAGTGGGCACATTAACACGTTCGTTAATGTGCTGTAATTACGGTGCATTAATTTTAATACTTGTAATGACCTGTACTAACTTAATGTGCCGTAATTGGCACTACTGCACATTAGCACAGATGAGCGCTTTTTTTGTGATGTTAATGCGCATTAGACTAAATCTGCTGTGCAATAGGATGAGTTTTGCCCACCATGCTAATGCACAGTAAAATTAATCTAATGTGCATTAAGTGTCTCGTGTACACATGCCTAGTCGCCACCTTTTATTCATCTATTTTTTACTAAACCTATTTGTAGAGGATTCTAATACAGTGTTAAATGCCTTTCGTGTTATTAATGAAAATTGTTTGTCCCAGTTCAAGTTTTCATATTTCTGGATAGTTCTTGTCTTTAATCTTGGTATGTATCTTTAGCTAATGGTAGACCACTTGCAAATATTCTTGGTTTTAATTTGCTGGTGATTTTAACCCAATAACTTTATATTATTGTTTTTTTGCAGTCATGTTAGGATGCAATTTGACAGAATTTCTAAGATTCCTATTTGGGCAACTAATAATCTGTTTTAACTATGCTTTATCACCAAATCCTACATGCTGTTGAAGAACTGGCATAGGAAGACGGAGCAAACACAGATTATCTGCACTTCTTGACCTAGTTATACAGCAAGAAACAGCACATGGATCTTAACAGTGAATCCCTCAAAACAGGGTTTCTTAAAACATCTACCACTTACAGAAGGCTGTCATCTAAATGCCACATCTATTTTTCCTGATTTTAGGGTGGTGCTCCCCTGCAAGTAAAACAGTACTTTAACTGACAGTATTAACTAACTTATTGCTATTGTTATTGTTCCATCCAGCCCTCTATCCTAATTTGAAGTAATTCTGTATTACAATGTAAGATCCTATTCTAGAAACATTACCTATGAGCATGCAGTCACACACATGCTATTCTATTAATCTGTTTCTTTTTGTCTTCTCTAGTCGGGAACATGCCCTGTATGCCGTCATGTACTTGCACCTGTCCTCCCTGAAGCAGCCGCCGCTTCCTTCCTGTCTGATCATGATTCCCCTCCCTCAGTCCACAGCACTTCAGGAACACAATAAAATAAGTATCTGAAATGAGATTTTGAACCATCAAGCTAAAAATGTAAATCTTTCCTGTTTAATTACAATGTGAAAATGATTATATATATATATAAGAATATTATATAGAAAAATGCTATATATAGTATATATTTTAGTTTAGAAAGAGAATGTAAGACTTTCTAAACTATGTTTAGGTTTATGGTAATAGCTAAAATTTTCAAACTGAAAGTCGGGGAAAAAACATTGCACCCATTCTCTGCAGTAGACTGTTTCTGTTAGTTGTAATGTCTTAAGCTTGTAACCCGCCAGATTTGTCCAAAAGATTGATCATTAATGTGGCACTTCACGTTCAAATTCTTGCAACTGCAGTGCAGTTGGAGCTTATTAAAGTTACACGTATAACCTGTTTTACTTAATATAACTATTTTTTTTGTCAAAGATAGTGCCACTGAGTGACTTTGTAATTGATCTCTCATATTTGCATCAAATGTGAAGACATTCTGTGATCACAGCAGTAGTAAAATTTGGTTTCACTGGAAATAAATTTGCATAATTCAACTGTTTTTTCATGAGAGTTTTTTCATAATATCTGTTTTTCCAAATGCTGAAGCATTGGTTAATCACTACTGGCACTGACCTGGAATTTCACAAATACATGAATTGTTCCTGAGTGTCTGTATGAAGGTTCCTGGATTTTGTTTGTTTATTTGTTTTCAAGGTATATGGAATGTGGAACTTTAAAGCTGGTATTATCAAAGCAGTCTAAAACAGGGCTGTTGAATGACCCAGCTTGGGACTGAGGTACTAAGACCCGGGTGCCTCTGCCACTTCTTGCTGCCCAACTGCAGCAGCACAGCACAGGGAGAGCTACCCTTCCACTGAAGCTCCTGGCCCCTGGTTGCAGAAAAGTGTTCCCTTCTCCCAGCCAGCTCTGCAGGCTGGATCCAAAGACTCCACAGACTGGATCTGGTCTGCAGGCCGTAGGTTGCCAATTCCTGATATAAAGAATTAAATCGCTGGTAGTTGGGCTTCTATTTCTTTATTTTTCCTTTTTAAAGTCCAGTTCTAAAAATGGTCAGGCTTTGGAGGAGTTGGCCGATTCACAGTGTGCAGGGATGTTAATACTTTCTTGTCTCTTGGAATTGTTATGCCTAAAAGCTAGAGCGAGTGCTCCTAAATCTGAATTGTAGGGTCTCCCTGAAGGCAAAGAATGGAATATGGTAATGGAATAAACTATTTGTGAGTTAAGACAGAGTATTATCAGTAGTATAAAAATAGGAGTAAGAGTTCAGTATTTCTGGTGGTTGCAGTGGGCTGTAATAAAATTAATATTTTTAAGATGAGGGAACTGAAGAAGATTGGATTTTAATGGACTTCTCAAACTGTACTGTGTTGCCATCAGTAACATGTTATTTTAAACTTTTTATTTCTATTGAAAGTAAATCTCATACGGCAAGAATATAGGTTTGAGGAATTGTATGTGCCCTTTAGTAACCAATTACTGTTGAAAAACTTTTCATAGTTGTGAATTAAATCCAGGTCATTAAAAACAGTGACAGTTCTTCCACTTTCTGTGAAGGGAACTGGACCTAGGCCATTGGAGAAGAATAGCTACTGTTGGTAAATAAGCCCTTTTCATACAAATTTTGTTGTCATCCTTCAGCTTCTGAGATTTATTGAAAATTATGGCACCCATTGGAATATCTGATTACCTTATAAACATTAACATACTATGAAAACACCACTATGAAACACGGAGTAGTATTTAATTTTGAAGGGAAAACACTAATGTTAGATGGTTTGTCCAGCTGTCACACTGGAAGTTTGTAACAGAGCAAGGTATTGAATCAAGGTATCCTGTGTCTAGTGTAGTGTCTGAACAAAAAAAACATTGTTTCTCAGCCTTGGAGTACAGGGAAGCTGAAACAGGTCCTGGCAGAATGATGAGGAAGGGTGCTGAATGCAGCTCCAAGAGTGCGTTTTTCCCAAAAACCCCCACATCAGAATTCCATTGGAATAGTCTTTGGCAGGGATTTTGGGAGCAGATGACAGCAGTCAGTGCTTTTTCACAGGCCCTCAAGCTTTTCTTTTAGCGATCCAATATGGAATCAATACTAATCCAAGAAGCACTGCTTTTATCACAAAAATCCTGCTATAAATTGCTATTTGGAGTCGCTAGGGAATTGGTCAGTGGCAGTTTAAATCCTGAAGCATTCCAAGATGCCATGGTGAAATAAGGACAGCAGGGCAGTTATGTGACCTGTTAAAGCTGATCCAGAAGCCACATGGTTTTTGGTATATTGGTGGATTTAGAAGAGGGGAGAGAATTATCATGTGTTTTTTTTTTTTATCTCCCTTCACAAGTTAAACAGGCTAGAGGATGGAGAGTGTTTTAACAGTTGAATTTTTTTTGCTTGCTTGCTTGCTAATGTCATTGTTCTGCCTACTCGTACCTATATACAAAAGATTCAACTGCAGACTTTCTGACAAGCTTATGTTGGCTTCGTGCATCTGTTGTGTACAGGCTCAGTGCTGTAGCATGTCCTTCATTTCCATTTCCAAAGAACATTTGTTCTAAAGAGAATTTTCCCAGATAGCATGTTAAGATTTAGAAATTCTCCGCCAGTTGTTTAAAGATTTCAGTTCCAAACTCAGCCAACAGCATCAAGAGCTAAGCTTGAGACAGCTGCTAGGTTTTTTTTTTTCCTTGCCATCTGTTGCTGGCCTCAGCCCTTGGCTCCCTTTTCTCTTCAAACAGCTGGCAAACAGTTGTCTAGAAGAAGGTGATTTTAAAAAAACAACAAAACAAAACCCTGAATTTATAGGTGTTACTTGTAGGTCTTGCAAACCTGTGTTTCTTAATTGAAGGAATAGGACTTTTAACAAATGGGTTGACACAGCACTTGCTAGATCACACTCAAAGGATTATCAAAGAGGAAAAGTCAAATGAAGAACTACACACGTTTCTAATAATTTGTTTCCTTTTCTGTAACAGAAGCTTTCTTACAGTTGCTTAAGTCTCTGAAATTAAAGTTATGCCTGGCCAAAATAGCCCTGTGTGAACGAAGTTGTCCTTAGAAGGATTACATTGTACCCATAAATGAGCTCAAGATGACAGAGAATAATCCAGTCATCCCCCTACAAAGGAACTCTCAAACACAACTAAAAACTTCTATTTTTACTTATCACATAAAACAAAACATTCTAGCTCTTCATCTTTTACAGGATAAAAATAATTTGACAAGTACAGCTCACTTATGTAAAAAGTACTTATCCTTCTTTTCTGTGTGCGCAGCTGTATATTGAGTCTAATTAAAGAATTTAATGAAGAATAGATTATAAAAATGAGTAGTTATACCATAACAAACTAGTTCTGAATTATGTTTTCTCATTAATAATAAAAGATTAGTTCTGCAAGAAGTCATTTTGGTAAGTCAAATATGAACTGGGTATATTTAATACTGTAGTAAAACATCTGTAGTTCTAAAATTAGAATGCAAATCTTTAGCCAGAAATGTAGTATTTTTAATTCTGCTTTTCTCCCTACCTACCCTTGTTATGCTTCAGCAAACTTAGAAGTTTTGACAGGTGTTGTAAAAGACAGCCTGAGAGAATAAGTTTACTGTTTGTGCCCAAAATAGGTCTGGCAGCAGTAGTTCCGTTTTTCTGACATAGGCTTATTTCTCTAGTTATGCATACTATGAAACAACCTCCTCTAGGTGCAGTTCAGTCCAGTTTTCATGTCCATTTATGTCTTAGCCTTTTTGTTAAGGATGTCCTGGTGCTAATTGCTACTTACTATACTATAGATTGCATTTGATATGGTAGTGAAACCTTCAGTTTGATTCACAATCCTATTTTTTAATGAGTTTTATTCTGTATTTCCATAAACACCTGAAAGATGTTTTCATATTTTTGTTACTGCAGAAGTTTCTGTTCACATGAAGAAATCTTTTGTAAGAATAGAGGTTTTTTTCTGCCCTTCCCCAGAAACCTATTTGAATATCAGGGTAATGAAAGCTGTGGCTACATTGAAAATTAACCTTAAGAGGTTGCTCTCCAGCCCTTACCTCCCACGTACCTGTAGTATATATCCCTTGGATCTAGCCTCACCCTGGAATCTCTGCTAAACTTCAGTCCCGCCTCTGCTGCATTGTACCTTTTTCTTTTTGCAGCGTGTTTGGAACTTTACCTGTATTCTGCTGATTACAAGCATAGCAAGTCTGCTGGCAGTAGTCCTACAATTCCCTGTTCTTGTCTTCTAGGTTGTTTGTATTCCACTTCCTCTCTCTACCGCCCAGAAGGAATGACAGGTAATCTGCAGATTCATCACTACTGGGGCTCCACAACATAACCTGGGATTCATCTTAGTGGAAGGCTCAAAAAACAAGCATGCCAGTTTAAGTACAGCCCACGAGGTATGGTAGCCCTGGGGGAAGAACTGTTAACATTGCTTGAAGATAACCTCATCACTGATCCTAAATATCAGTGTCAGCATACTCTAAATTCTAAACCAACATTCTACATAGTAGAACACAGTTTACTGATTTGGGCTATGGCCTGTCTGAAATTATACTTGGCATACATTTCAGTTTATTGGACACAGGAAAATTCATAGGACTACCCAAAATGACGGTTTAGCTGTCTAGATTTAGTCTAACCTATTTGGCATTCTCCAGAGGAAGTTCAGCACTCCACTCAAATTCCGTGACACATTTGCGGTTATTCTTTGACGTTTTCATTAATGTTAATATGTACTTAAAAGATGTAGAATTATAGACAAAGTAAATTACACAATACAAGTTGCATAGATAGATTTGTCTACACAACTCCTTACAGGCCATATAAACTGCTTACATCAAGAATTATTTTAATGGAAAACTTCTAGTAACACAAGTGACAACTGTATTGTAGCTTAAATTGTACATTCACTGCCATTTAAAAAAAAAAAATTAAGCCTCTGCTGCAAGAAGGCAAACACAGTACAGATCTGCCTTCCAGCACAATAAAAATGATCTTTCTTTCTATATTTTTTTTCACAGAAAACGAATCCTGTTAACTGGATTCTGCTTTTGAGTTTCATCTCCCAAGTTCAAGACAAGCTGCAATTCCCCTAGCTTTTAAACCTTGTTATCCCATTCAAAGCACTGGCAAGCCCGCTTTGTTTTATGACCAGTTACTAATGTCTCTGTACCCTTTAGAAGACTCCACTTTATTTTTCACTGAAGTCATCTAGGCACAAGTTGGCAATATAGTCTATGGACCATATTTGACTTGTGGAACTGCTGGATCTGGCCCGTAAAGCTGGAAAGCTTTGCCTCTGCCCATGCTGGGGCTGGGCAACTGAAAGTTATGCTTGTATCCCTTCTGCTTCTCCCCACCTAAGCTCCCTGGCTGGAGCATGGGTACAGCTCCCAGTCAGTGAGGAACTGAGCTAGGGCCAGGCAGCTTCCATCTGCACCCATGCTACATTTGAGAGGGGAGTGGGCAAGGAGAATGCAGCAGCAGTGTAGGGTCAGTTCCCAGCTGTCTGGCCCCAGCACAGCTCCCCTCCGACTGGAAGCTGTACTTGCACCCCAACTGAGGAACTGGGGGATGGGAAATCATAGCAGCAACACACTTCCCACTGCCTGGCCCTGGTGCGAGTACAGGCCAATCCCCCTTGCTGCCAACACATTGGTGAAACCACCTGGCTCGTGCAAAACGAGCCGGGTTGTTCAGGACCGTGGCTTGAAAAGGTTCCTGGCCCATGATCTAAGGTGCTCCCTGACGGATCTGCATCCATTTCAGTTCCTCAGTTTCTCTAACTGAATTTTTTTCATGAGGCCTCAGAATAGATTATCATGGCAGTAATTTCTGTTGTTTTTATTTGAAAACCTGAAGCTTTGAGTTGATCATGCTCCTTTTGAGGCAAAGAAAATAGTGTAACTCTCAGTTCGTTGGTTGTCCTTTGGAGAGTGCTTTCAGTCACTGACCTCATTTTTTTTTTCCTTGTATATTCTTTAGTGCTTAGTGCACCAGTAGTTCTGATGCTTTACTGGTAGCCTCCCATGTTAACTGCACTGTGATTCTGTGGTTTCATCACTTGTCCTGAAATTTCACATTCCACATCTAAGGTGTGACTCCTTTCTTCTTGTTCAGTGTTGGTGGGTTTTTGCTTAGACGGAAAAAAAAATATTATTTTTACAGGTGCAGTGTTTGCAATCTAGATTTAAATTTCTTGATTAGGAAACTGATGTGTGTGGTAGGGAAAAGGTCTGCTCAAAAGCTGAGCTGACCCAAGACTATATACAGTAGGTTCCTAGTTCATAATTTAAGGACATTTTTTTGTCTTCGTTTTCATAGATTTCATAGACATTAGGGCTGGAAGGGACCTCGGAAGATCATCGAGTCCAGCCCCCTACCCAAAGGGCAGGAAGTCAGCTGGGTTCATAGGATCCCAGCAAGATGAGCATCCAGTTTGCTCTTGAAGGTGTTCAATGTAGGCGCTTGAACCACCTCCGGTGGCAGGCTGTTCCAGACCTTGGGGGCTCGGACAGTAAAGAAATTCTTCCTTATGTCCAGCCTGAAACGGTCTTGTAGTAGTTTATGACCATTTGACCTCATCATCCCTTGGGGCGCTCTGGTGAACAAACGTTCCCCCAGATACTGGTGGTCACCCCTGATAAACTTATAGGTGGCCATCAGATCACCCCTGAGCCTGCGCTTTTCCAGGCTAAAGAGCCCCAGGGCTCTAAGCCTGTCATCGTAGGGTCTGCTTCCCTGACCTCTGATCATGCACGTGGCTCTTCTCTGGACTCTCTCAAGCTTCTCCACATCCTTTTTGATTTGTGGAGCCCAAAACTGGACGCAGTACTCCAGCTGCGGCCTCACTAAGGCCGAGTACAAGGGGAGAATGATGTCCCGGGATTTGCTTGAGAAGCATCTATGGATGCAAGCCAGCGTTTTGGTCGCTTTACTAGCCGCAGCATCGCACTGCAGGCTTATGTTCATCTTGTGGTCAATGATGACCCCCAAGTCTTTCTTGCATAAGAAACACTCAGCCTGAAGTTGGGTTGTGTACACTGCAGTAAATCTTCTGTTGTTGTTATGAACAGCCCAGTTCTGCCCAGCAAACCCATTCTAAATGTATTTTTTATAATGTTATTTAATTTAGCCTAAGAAGCTGCATATTTGCATTTTGTAGTGACAGCTCTTTGGCTACGTAGCTTCTAAGAGCTGGCATCTCTATGATGTATTATTTTCAAATACAGTAAATAAAATAGCTATTCTACATGTAATTGTTTTAGGAAAATATTACCTTGCATCAATCAACACCTGTCCTATTTAGATTGCATCAAGAATTGCCATGTTATCTTAAGCCTCAGTGGAGATGCATCAAAACCTAATGTTTACCAGGGAAAAATAAACTTTACCATGAAGCTCAAAATACAATTTGATATGCTAGATTGGGAATGCTATCTTTTGTCTTAAGGGGGCTGCTTTCACAATTAAAAAAAAAAATGTATTGTGCATATCTTGTTTTCTTCTACCTGACAGATCAAAGAGGATAAATTGTTTGGGTGAATGGCATAAATTGAAGTAATACTGAATGATTAAGATTATTATGGCATTGGAAAATTGAAATGAACTGTTTGAGCATTCAGCCAGAGCTTTTACATTCTAAGGTTGCTTTGTTCCCTAAAATGCAGAATTTTTATTAAAATAATTCTTCTCAGGGCTCTCCTCAATTTAACTTTTTAACAAAGTTCTTTGCTTAGGTTCCTGCAGATGTGCAAAAGTCTGTTGTGGGGTGGGGGGTTGTTCTTTATTTTAAGAAATTAGAGGATTGGTATGTCTATATATGTATTTTTCATGTATTATACAGTAATGGCTAATCCAAGTGAGAGAGATCCATAAAGGATTTCTGATTTAAACAAAATATTCATTTGTTTTTTTGGAGTTCTGTAGCTTCAATAATCCAGTTAAAGGAGAGCTATTTAACTTCGAAAAAAAACACAGAATACAGTACATAACTATTAGTTTGTTTACTTTATGGAAAACTTGCTTAGTATTTGGAAAGCATACATTGCCAAATTTCAGTATTGTATAACTTATGGAATAGAGGGGTAACAGCTCATTTCTAGACTATTACCTACTTAAATCACTTCTGGAGCCTATGGATAGATCCTTGACCTTCAGTTGCACTCATTCGCTGAGTCCATTCTCTAACAAGAAGAAACAATATGATCTCTCATGTGATGATTTCTATATTATTTATACTACATGTGATCCTCTCCCAAAGGCAAGGAAGAAGCCAGAAAGGCCCAGTCAAAAGGATTTTTTACTTGCTCCTTCACCTTAAAGGTTCTGCTGTCACTTTTTTTTTGTGAATTCAGTTTTAATGCAGTTATGCTAAAAGCTAAGGATTTCTACAAAGAAACCTTAGAATTAAATTGAATAGAATAGGTGTCCTTTTTAAAAATAAGCTGTAGTTCAATTATAAACTTGAAGCAGAAATTGCTGGATGACACAATTCTTTGGTCTTTTTTTGCAAGAAGTAAAATTAGATGATCAAAAACTAGGAGGTTTATAAATCTCGTATGAGAGATCAAGATGAGTATGTATGATGTTCAAAAGTCCAAAATCCTTCTGAAAGTCGATAAGACTTTTGCTTCCTACCTTGTTTAGATTTTTTTAAAGAAAAAAAATCCCATTTGGCCTTCATTTTACATTGTTACTTTTGAATCAGATCCACATCATTTACATATTGTGTATTAAATATTGAATTGATTAAATATTTACTCTTAATTTTTTAACTTAATTTCATTTGGCTTTTTTTAAATGACCTTACATCCATCAGAAATTTACAAGCTTTTGATCAAGTTTGCAAATAGTAAAAAAATCGAGGGCAGTTCAAGTAAAGGTGATTCTTATGAATCACCTTTCACATCTATGAATCTTATGGATTACACAATGAGTATAAAGGTGAATCCAGCCTTATGGTTTCCCTTGCACAGCAGACTTCAGAGTCAAGGAGTATCCTTTCCCATTCAGCTTCACTTGGCTACTCCCATGCTGCTCATCTCTAGCCTTCAAGTTTTCACAGGCAAGATAGGGAGAGTCTAAACTTTAAGAATAAATTACCTTCTAAATGCTATTCCAGAAAAAATGCAAACAGATGATTTCCTTGTCCTACATTAAGTTTGGTGAGACCCTACATCCTATTATGGAAACATCTAGGACTTAAAAAAATTAAAAAGCCTGGCGTTGGCACTTTTTTGCCTAATTTTAGAATCTATATTAAATTCCCTGGTAATGGACCCTGAGTCCTTTATGAGGATGGTTGCTCGTATATTTTTGGTACTGAGCGCATCGATTGTTTACAATAACATAGTATTGCATTTCTTTCTCTATACTGAGCAAAGCTAGGGTCTCT